ATATCCTAAACAAATGCTTAAATTAGAAATATATGTAAACATGTAAACAAAACGAATAAACAAAAAATACTTATCGTCGGGTACCCGTGATCACCTCTATAGTTAGCGAATGATTGTAAAAGTGATATCATAAAAAAAATTACAAATGATGAACTGATAAAACTTAATGTATTAAAATTTTTATAAAATAATAATTGAAATCATTATAAAAATAAAAACTAAACTTTTAAATAAATTATAAAAATGAGTTTACAATGTCCTTATAAAGAATGTAATCGAACCTTCATAAAACAACAAGGATTAATACAACATATTCAAAATCGTCATCCATTTATTGAAACTGAACAAAAAACACAAAATAACGTTAACGATGATGATCTTTTCCAAGATGAACAGTTATTTAAAGATTTATTTCAAACCAGGTTAACTAAATTTAACAAAGTAATATAATATGTCTATTATGATTCTGAAAAAAATATTTCTAAAAAAAATATTCTTTTGGAAAATATCTTAAATTTATAAAATATATATATGTTAAAAGGAATCAAAAAAAAATTTAACAAATAAAAAATTATTAGAAACACAATACTTTTCTGAATTTCCTTTATCACAAGAATTTGATCATAATGAAAAAACCATAGATGATAATGAAGGAACTATATCTGATAATGAAGAATTCATAAGTAATCAAGAAGATTTTATAGATAATAATAAAGATTTTATAGATGATTCAGATTAAAGATGGTGCCAAAACTAGTTGCAACTATGTGATGCTTATTTGTCACCAATTGCAATTAGTTGCAACTCAATTTTTATTAATATTGCAACTAGTTGCAACCCTGTAATGCTTATTTGTCACCGGTTGCAACTAGTTGCAGCACCATTTTTAATTCAGATACAGAAATTGATTCAGTAGATTCTGAAGATTTTTACAGAGCTAATTTTAAAGATGTAGTAAATGATGCAATCGAAAAATGCATCCTACAATGGCCTAATGAAATTTATTATAAATTTCAGAAATATATATTAAATATGAATTGTCAAATCAGACAACAGATTCACTCATCCGCTTTTTCAACAAAAATGCTAATTTAAATAAATTACTTTTACCAAAAAATGTTAAAGAAATGCATAGATTTATAAATTAGTGGGATATCACACTTTAACTTAATTAAGTTAAAGTATGGTATTCCACTTAGACTAGGTTATAGTACTACGCTATAATCTAAATACCATGCTATAGTCTGAATATCACGTTATAATCTAAATATCACACTATAATCTAAATATCACACTATAATCTAAATGTTACACTAAAATCTAAATATCACACTATAACCTAAA